GGGTGTCAAGGGGTGATCTGTTTTGGGCTAATTTGTAATTTGTATCTCAGGTTTGGGCATGTTTTAGTGTTTATGATTCAGTCCTTGGGGGAGGTAACATCTCGTGCCTCTTCCTAGGCTGCATGTATTTCTGATATTTTTTCAATAAAATTACTCATTTATCAAAAAAAAAGAATAGTATAAAACTATAAATGCATATTTATTCCAAAGATTTACCCTATGAATTCAAGATTATATTTCTTTTTTTTTTCAACAATAATAGTGTGAGTTTTTATTCAATAAGTGAAATCAAGAGGGTAAGTAGAAGTCTACTCCTACCATCCCACTTTGCTGGAGTGGAGAGGGAAGAATTAAAGATTCTATGGTTGCATATTAAGGATTGGGCAAAGAGGAGAATCCATTTGAGTTTCCTGCCATGATCCATATTGAAAGATCTGGCTGTAATGATTCTTTTGGTTCTTGGAGAGTTTGTAATGTAGGTGCTTGCAGATGTGTTAAGTGACATGGTAACCTTCATCCTTTTTATTAAAATGGAAAAATGTCTTAACTTTTTTTTTTGAGGAAAATTTAACCATAATTCATTAGAAAAAGCAGTACATGAGAGGATGTACAAAGCCAGGGGTAGAGCCCCAAAAGTTTACAAAGGAGGAAGCCTATCACTATACAGATACCATAAAATGGCTAAGAGATAAGAGGAGATTGAGTCATTTTCTTGCAGAAGCTAGAGAATCTTTAGAACTGTTAAATGCAGATTTGACTTGGATTCTGAGGGAACTTAATTCTGTTGCAGATGGCTTAGCGAAAATAGGCGCTTGTTTGGATGTATTATATAGTGATAGACTGATTCCTGTGTACTTTCACTTTTTCAATGAAATTCTGTTATCTTTTCTCCAGAAAAATGGAAAAACGTATTTATTTTTACATATTGATAGGAGATGCTGAACTTTATTACATTAAGTAATCATGAACTATATTACATATGAGGGGTGGTACATGTTTTATTAGACATTTATTTATTTATTTTTGATAATTGAAATGATTTTATAAAACAGCAATAGACAATAGTACAAAGTCCTCAAGGAAAGGTATGAGTTGCAACCTCTCCGGGCTAGTTAAGTACAGATTTCCAAATTAATAACAACTTACATAGAAGCACAAAAAAATCTTCCCTAGAAACCCCCTGTTTGTTGGCTAAAGCATCAGCCAAAGAATTAGCACAGACCTACTAACCCATTTTACCTCAACTCTCATATTACTGGTTAACCACTTTACTTTTTTGATGAGATCTTTGTAGCCCCAAATGGTGGTATCCAAGTTTAGGAGCCACCTGGTTAGACATTTATTCTGTTGTAGTTGTTATTTTAATTAGATGCATTTTCTGATGAGTAACATAAATTCTTTGCAGACGAGGATGCACCATCAAAGATGGCCAAGGTGGAGATTCCAACCTCCAAACTTGTTGGTGGTGTTGTACCAGGATCAGTAGGTGTTGGATTTCCTCCTCAACCACCAATTGGTGCAATGCAGCCAATGTAAATTCCTTGCTCTGAAATTTCCTGGTTGAATATTGTGTTTCTGCTACTGAATTGAGACACATTTGTTTTGTCTTCCTAAATATGGTCTGGAGGTTGAACCACTTATCTGTCTGGGTTAATGGGTCAGTGTTCAAACATCCAGGTCAACTTGTGCTATTATTATTATAAAAAATTTGAAGAGTTAAAATAATACAAAAACCAGAAATCCATTGAATGGTCAATGGTTCAATGTCTTGGTTGATGGGTTGTTGACCAAGTCAACATTATTTTTTGTAATATAGTGGGTTAGAGGCTGATTGAATCTAGGAACCGGGATTGTGACCAGTAATTGACCTGACTTGCTGGATCAATGTCTTGGTTGGGCAATGTTTTAAATCAGGTTTGGGTGGACCTCCAAACTTTTTTTTTTTGATCAGTAATCAGTAGTCAATTATTAAATTACTGGAAAAGCATTGCAATGTGTATTCAAAGAGAGAGAATTAAAATTCAAGTGTGACAGTTCCTATTACAAATCTTCTCAGAACACTTGATCCGTATACGGTATACACATCTTGTTTTGCCATGCAATCAGCCATCCCACTTTCTGGTCTCTTAACCCATCTGAAGGTTGCCTCTAAGTGCTTTGCCATGTTCTTGATTTCTTTTATTAGATGTCTGAATATCCAAACCTGGACTGTTGTCATTTTTTTTTTTCTGATTAGCAACTCAAAAAAATTTTATTAAGATTAAAGAACAAAATTGTACAATAAGAAGTTGTTAGGTGAAAGACTCTTTACAGCAAAGATCCCCCACACAGTTAACATTTGAGCCCAAAACAAATGCTTCCTATGAGTTCCTTTCTTAGCCAATCCATCTGCCAACCCATTTGCTGACCTCCTAACCCAACCTACATGGATTTGCGTATTTCTTGAGATCATCTTGAATCTTTTGAAATCATTTCTGAATTGCCATAACCCCTTCTCCTTTTTTCAACCAGCCAACGACTATTGTTGAGTTCCCTTGAAGAATCAGCCTAGTAATTCCCATATCCTTAGCTTTTTGCACCCCAACAATAGCAGCCAAAAATTCAGCTCTTATTGAGTGATCTTGATCAATAGGTCCTGAATACAAGCCACAACATATATTCCCATTCTCATCTATAAACACTCCACTAATTCCGGAAGACCCAGGGTTGCCAAAGCTACTTCCATTGAAGTTCAACTTCATCCACCCACCACTTGGGGGCAAGGTTTAAAATGTCGATGTCGATGGAAATGTCGCTTACCAAAATATAGGACATATGTCGGAAATGTTGAGGGGAAATATTGTAAAAATTAGAGAC